GTGGAAGCAATACGTAAATCATTTATAAAATTATACAAAATAAAGCAAAGTTTCTTTGATAAACCGATATTATTCGTCTTATCAAGTTATAATTTATTATATGTGGAACCATATTCAATTTTGACAAGGTATATACTAATTGTTCATTAGAGTTTCGACAGAGTTTTGACAGTCACTAAGAGGTTTCGGCGAGCAACCTTAGTATGATACATGATGACTTTGATTGACAATTGTAAATTTGATTTAGTAGATCAATTTTTTGATAATTCAGACATGATAAGTTTTATCGATTATGGCATTAACGCAACCGCGAGCTATTGTCCACAAATTTTAATTAATATTAACTATATAAATCGTCTCGAAAGTTTTGAGTGAGCTTGCTAATTGCTTCTAATGCTAATGCTAAAAATCTTTAGCTAACGAAAATAGTGAATTGATTAATATTTCCTGTGTTACAAATTTTTACAATAATAATAAGAGCAAGTTAGGCGTGCAGTAAGTGAGTGCACGTTTGTTCCGCATGCCCGTCCATTTTATTTGTAAAGCAGATCCAGTGTCTAAAATCTGAACTCGAAATTATGTGCGTTGACCACACACTATTATCAAACTAGTGAGTGTGCGGGTAATTTTACATATAATTTACACAAATAATAAAATAAAATTGATAGATTTTGTGAGGTCTTTTTTTTTAATATTTCCCAATCTCCTCCCTTGTTTCATCAGTTATTCTCGAGGAACCAAGTTTTCTTTTGCTGAATACAAATTCAATTCCCACACACTCATTTACCACTAAACTCGAACATTTCTTATATTAATTAATATTAATAACGTGATAAATGATAAAATCATCAATTAGGGATTCAGTACTTTATGTTCCAGGGTCAACTAATTTTAGTATATCAAATGAAAATTTTACGCAAAAGCTTTTTATAATTGTTACAGTGTAAATAATTATGGAAGTTTTTATAATGTCAACATTGATTGATTAAGTTACTTTGCAATAATAAACTCACACATATTTATCTTTATCCTTATTGTAGGATCAACGAAAATTTCATTAAAGATAACTTCTGGTCTTCGCTTGAAAGAGCATAATTTCTGGTCCTCAAAGAGGATAATTAACATTTTAATAAAATAAAACTCTGTAATAAGAGAGAGACTCTCTTTTTCTCTCTAATAGAATCATTATTTTTATTAATCGTTAATAAATTTTTAAAAATAAAATAAAATAACCCGTTTCTTTGTTTACAGCGCTTCGATAAAAGAAACAAATGTATTTAGTGCCTTAGTAAAAGGTAATAATTGTGGAGCTTTGGTAAAAGGCCATATTTATTTGCTTTAATGAGCAAGCAAGCAAGGTTAGGATTAACGTTGGTTAACTAGTGGGTGTTAAGAATAATTAGTAACGTAACCTGCTTTAGTGAGTAAGCAAAGGTTAGGACTAACGTTGGTTAACTAGTGGGTGTTAATGAAATATCGTTCAAAGGTTA